TTGCCAGAATAAAACTAGCATACTGGAAAGATAAAACTGTCTTTGCATTACTCATGTATCAGAAAAAAGATGAGCTTTATTTTTATAGTTTGAAATAGTAAGTTCTCAAACCTTTCCTTCGAGAATTTCAGAAAAAGGTGAAATTCCTTAACGAGCGGTATTTCATATTTTTTTATATGATGAAGCTAAGATGGATGAGAAATGATCTGATGGTCTAATAGTTTATTAAAAGCTGAACAAATTTTGAATGCAACCTTGATTTGAATACTTCGTTCTTTCGTATAAAAATGCTTAACTCATAGTCATCTGCAAAAAAAATTTCCATTTTCAGAAATTCGGTAACGGTCATTATTTTTTGAATAACTCTGTTGCGGTTGAAGAGAAATGGGTAACATTTTTACTGGTTACAGATCCAAGGAAGCTCTACTTGTGACAAAAAATTTCAGATAGTTTACTTATTTTACTAAGAAGTTTCGTGGATTGCAGTCTGAAAAAATGAAATTCCGTCACGCGTGGTCACGCCGATTAGTTATCACTGTTAGAGCAAATAATTATTTTAATTATTTAGTTTATTTGTCACTTGAATGTTATTCTTTTTGTCAAAGATGAACTATTATTTTTTTAGAAATTAATAATCATTTGTTTGTTATCAAATGTCATCATTAAAAAATTATTTTGTCAATTTAAATATATTTCAATCATCTGATGACTTAACAACAGATGAAGAAAAAGAACATGAACGTCGATCAAATATTATTTCAACTCGAATCTTTTTTATTATTTTTATCTTCGTTCTAATTGAACTCGCTATTATTATGAAAACAAGAAATCAAAATACACTTATAACAGTTGAAAATCCAAGTGAAGATCAATTCAAAAATTTACCATCTGATGCTCATTGTCCATGTTCTCATATATCATTATCTTATGGAGAGTTTATTTCAATTCAAACTCGATTTCATCAGATATGTTCAAGTGATTTTATATCTGATCGATGGATTAAAACAATTAATTTTGGTTTAAATACAACGTATTTTTCCGCTTATGACTTTCGAACAGAAGGAAGTGCAATATTTCAATCACTCGAAAGTTTTTGTCGACTTTCAAAAGGTTATTCTATTCAAAGTATTGATTCATTTAATAAAGATTTATTTATAAGTCAAGAAGTTTTAAAAGAATCTGTATTTCAATCACAAATAAATGCCATTATTCAACAGTTTGAATTATCATCACCTATTGAATTCTCAACACAAGTAGTATTAATAAGAAAAATGATAGCCGGAAATCGTTTTCTATCTGCTCTACAGACTAATTATATGCAATGGTATATGCTTTGGCAGAACAATGTAACTTTAATTGTGATACATAATCGACTTTTCCTGGATCCACAGGCTTCCTCATCATGTTCTTGTCGGGTCCATATTGATTGTAACATGGAATTAATGATATTTAATCAATTCGGACAATCCGGTATTGAGTACTTTCCGCCTGATGATAAAATATTAATGAAAATTCCTGGAATGTCGCATAGCTGTTTACCAGTAAATACAATTCTTCTCTCATCATTAGAATGTTTTTACAATCAAACATGTTTAAATAATCTTGTTTCATTATTACCTACGACTGTAAATTTTACAGTAATTTCAGAATTAGAACAAAGTCGTTACAAGTTGAATTCAACAATACAAACAATTATCGATAATTTAATGATTGAAGAATGGGTGACCGATATTTCTTATAAGAAATATTATGAACAATGTGCTCCTATTTCATGTACTTATTTTAAGAATGATAAGTATGATTGGAAATTTTTACTGTCACAATTAATTGGTTTATTAGCAAGTATAATAACGGTATGTAGTTTTATTATACAAAAAATAGTTAAATTCGTTCGACGACGACCATCTCAAAATACAGAATCAATATCTTGTAAGTTTAGTTGTTTGATTTATTAAATAGCATATGCTAACTACCTTCAATTCATTAAAATCTCTTCTTATGAACATGAGCAGCGCCAAGCAAAGTTTCTAAAGGAAGCAATTGTACATAGCACTTCGCTATAGAGTTCAGAGATGGACGAGTCGTTGTATCACATCACTCTGTCTCTTGACGGTATTGAGTTTTTTAAATATTTTTTTCTTTAACGTGTGTTTTTCCATTTCGCAATTCTATCTTTATATACAGAATAGCTGATAAATAATAATATGACGATAAGAAATTTAAATATTTCCAACTGAATTTATTCAAATGAATTCATATTTTTGGCTGGTAATAGAACTCTACTCAAACGTTTTTTCCATTCGGATAATGTTAGTAAATATTACTGTTAAATATTTCAGCTGAGCTGATGAAAACAATTTGACTATACTGGAAACAAAAAAAGGTGTTAACCGAAATCGTACAAGTTTCGCGTGATTTTACTATATATCCTCAGGTATCGTACAAGAGTACGAAATCTCTTCAAGGTTTCGTAGCCAAATAGTTTTGTACCAAATGAATTTCTTTATAATTAATCTACTTATCAAACACTTCAGAATGAAGCTTAAGCGTTTTTTTAATCTTTCTTGACTGTAGGTGTTGATATGGTTTTATTCAACAACAGACACCCACACCCCACATATGATAGAAAAATAGGTCATATCGAAATTTTTTTCTTATGATAATAACTGAAGTATGATGAAACAGCACAGAAAGATAGAACATTGTCTTTTCTGTCAGCTCATGTAGAAATAAAGGTTTCTCAAATTTATAATATGGTATTACAGTGACACCTTCACTAGTTAGAATGCTCTTGATGTCGATCTCAAAATATTTTCAAAAATTTTATATCCTTTTCAGGAAAACAAAAATTAAAGTAACCAGGGATTCACAATGGAATAAAATCTTGTCTAGGATGTTTTTATATAGTTCGATAGAACAAGTTGTATTTTTTGAAGCGTCTGTGGATTAAAAACTAGTGGAAAAAAAACTAATTTTATTGAAAATTTGAACGTTTTTCTCTGCTATAAACATGAATTTTTAAATTTTGCAAGTTTTACAGGTATTTTTTTGAGTTTTGGTCTCATAAAAATAATTAATTTTTTCTAAAAATATATATATAATTTTGTAGAAATGAACGAACTCTCTCGAACTATGTAAAAATACTCCAGACAACATTTTACTCTATTGTGAATCTCTGGCTATCCTTTTTTTTTCGCGAAAACGGTATAAAATTATCAAAAATGTTTTTAGTTCGATATCAAAAACATTCTACAACTCTTACTATTTAGCATGGATAGATCTCATTTTTAACGTGTTTCAATCTGATATAAAAGTTTTTTATGAATGCTATTTGAAATCATAGTGTTAAACTCCTCCACTCTGGAAAAAAAACACTTTTTACATACTCTGTATATTCATATTCAATTTCACAAAATGTTGTAAGATTATTTGAATTTATCACAAATAAATAGTCAAGATGATTGAAAAAATGTTTCCATTATAGAGAGTTGTCGAAATTTCTCTACGAAAGTTATATTAATAGTCTCATCCCGTAATAGAAGTCCTCTCCAAAACCTCTGAATGATAAACAGTTTAGAAGCTCCTGTGGGCTTCTATTATGGGAAGGAGTTTATCCCTGTAACAAATTTTAAAAAGATGGAGATATTTCGTTATTACTGCCACATTTATTTTATTGTGATCATAATGATAGACTGATGGAGTAACGTTATCGCTATTCTCGGTATAGGATGTTCACTTCATTACTCGATCACCCAGTTATGTCGATTTTAGATAGAGCATTGCGTTATATAAAAGAACAAAAAAACTAGCTCATCTGAATGATTTGAAGTCGAAATATTTAAATTTCCTATCGCCTTGTTATTATTTATAGGTCAGGCTATATTTGAATTATACCTTTTCATCTCAGAAAATGCAATATTAATAATCGAAAGCTATTTAAAATTTTCTGAATAAATAGTCTGAAAACAGACTTTGGACGAGGCGAGACGGGACCAGTCGATGACGGTGTGACTTCTTGGCAGTCCCATCCACATTTGACAGCATTAATTCTATTCTTAGAACTTTGCATAGAAGAGAGGATGGTATAATGGGAAAATGGAGGCGTTCAGCGAAAAAGAAACTTCTTCGTATGTTCAATGAAACTATTGTTAACATCATCTTTAATAGAAAATACCTATTCATTTTAAAGCATCATCAATACGCCATCATATGAAATAGAAGAAGTACGTTTTATCTCAATAGAATCGATTGTATTTATTTGACTTGTTATGATCCAAGAAACGTTTCAATTGAAAAATACATATTTTATAATGTAAAATTTCAATTTTATCTTACACTTTTTGAGGAAGAGAATAGAATTTGTTTTAGTAGAATAATTACTTCCTCTTTTAACATTAGTACACCGACATATTTGTCTAAGTGATGATATTGACTGATTTGATTTACTATTGAAATTATTGCAAGAGAAAAGTTTTTCTTTATTTTTCTTACGTTAGTTAAAATCTAAAAATAAAATTATTTCTTTCTTTATTTTATGTTTAGTAATAATAAATATAAAAAGACTTTTGAAAAAAAATGTAATTGAACTAAACATGTTTCAAAATAATGGAGGCAATCAACATCAAATCAATTATCAAAGAATTGCAACTCGATTTCACTTATTCTTTCTTCTCATTTCGCTTATTAGTTTTAGTTTCTATTTATTATTAAAGGAAGATCTTCAACAAAAAACAATTTATCAACCATCGGAATTTCAATTTAAAGAACTCGAAAAAATTTATTCTTCAAATCTTTTTTGTCCATGCTCAACAATCTCAATGAGTTATTCAACTTTTGTTACGATTGAATCTTACTTTCATCAAGTATGTTCAAGTGATTTTATGTTAGATGCATGGATTAATTATATCAAGGGTGATAACATGCTGAACGATTATTTTCCAATGTTTGACTATCGAAATTCTGGTGTATTACAATTTCAGTTATTGTCAATGTTATGTCAACATGCTCAACAAACAGTTAAAATTAGTATCAAAACATTTCTTCAAACACAATTTCTTTCTTCACAAGTTATTTCTAAAAATCGATTTGAAACTAAAATTAATTCATCTATTAATGATTGGAAATCTCAAACCATCGATCAATTCTTACAAACAATTAAAATATTTCAAGCAGTATCACACGGAAATCAACTTATGAGTGAGCAGTTTCATTATTATATTCATCATATAGACTGGAACGATACAAAAATGAATCTTGAAGTACAAGAATATTTCAATTGTTCATGTACTCTATCTCAATCATGCCTTATCCCTATCGGCCTGTACGAGATCGATCCGTATTTTTGGGAGATTTTCGGAACATATTCCATAGTCCCAAATTTTTTTCTGGGTTGTTCCCAAATCGAAGGATTGATGAAATCAACTTTAGAATGTTTTTATAATCTATCATGTATGATTGAATTAGATCGATATTTCGATAATTCTCTTGGATCATCTTTTAATTTTTCAAATTTAAATGAAAATCTTAGTCCACCAAATGAAACAATCGGATCAATTATCAATAAACTTATGATTGATTCTTGGACATCGAATATTTTATTTTCTTCATATTATAATACATGTTCTCCACCATCATGTACATATGAATATATTAGTCGAAATGATTTATTCTTTGCTATATCAACAATTCTTGGTATTTTTGGTGGTTTATCTCTTGGATTAAAATTACTTATTTTAATTATTCTTCGATTTATTGAGAATACAATTAATAATAATTCTTTTAATGGATTTATAACAATGATAAAGAGATTATTTGATTGTAATACAGAACAACGTATTATTAATCGACTTCATTTTGTTTTTCTTTTACTAATATTATGGTTAGTATTTATATTTTTTGCTTTTAAACCAAAATCAGTTACTGTCCAAATAATAAAACCATCACTTTCAAATTATAAAGATTTCTTAAAAGATCATTCTTATTCTCTTCAATGTCCTTGTTCACAAGTATCCATTCCATATGAAACATTTCTTAATATTGAACCTCATTTTCATGATTTATGTTCAAGTCAATTTATTCTTGATGAATGGATTCATTATATCTATGGTGAAGGTCATCTTTCTTATCGATTTTCATCCGATGATTATCGTTATTCAGCTCCTGGACAATTTCTTTCACTTTCTTCACTTTGTAAACTTAGTCAAGAAAAAGTAAATCATACTCTTTCGCAATTTCTGAAAAGTTACTTTATTAATGCTCAGCTTTTATCTGAAAATCTTTTAATTGAAAAAATTGAAATAATTTTAAAACGACTTCAATCAACAGCATCCAATTCATTTCTTAATAATTTTAATTTAGTTCGTGAAATAATTGGTTCGAATATGATTATGAGTGGATGGATCACTAATTGGGAATATGTTCCTGAAAGTACATTTTCTGATGGTTTACTTGTACATACAGCACCTGTAAGTTATGGTGAGTGTAATTGTGGATTATCATTTAAATGCACTCAATCATCAGGAGGTATGATGAGTGGTTGTTATCCACTAGAATCTATTCTTCAAACAAAACTTTACTGTTTTTATGATCAAAATTGTATTGATTCAAATGGAAATTTTACAAGATTAAATATATCAACGTTGAAAAAAAGTCAATTTGATTTAAATTCAACAGTTCAATTAATTTTAAATAATTTAATGATTGAAGAGTATAAAAGTGATTTATCATATGAAAATTATTTTAATCAATGTCGACCATTATCATGTTCATATTCTTATATTAAAACTCATGATGTAACTGAAACAGTAATATCTCTCATTTCTCTTTATGGTGGATTAGTTATTATAACTCACTGTTTAGCAATTATTTTTGTTAAAATTTATCAACATAAAAAAAATCAAATTAATCCCGAAGCTCTTCAACAAAATATTTAATATATATCAAGAAAACAAAATTAAGCATATCAAAAGAGAAATAAATTAATTTTGTCAAAGCTTTTGATGTTGTAATGAAATTATTTAATAAATTTATCAATCATATGAACATTATTTTTTAATAGAGATTTTTTAATTGTATACGATTATTAGTTTTCGGTCTATGCAACTCAATTCGTGAAATAAGTTTAAATAAATTAAATTTGAGGGGCGAGAGTGAGGAGTGAGTCAAGCAGACTACAACGCCTTTCGACCTTGCTAAAGGATCTCATCAGATAGTTTCGCCTGCACAATAATATGGTGGCTCGTCCACGTAACGCGCTATTTCAGACATTAAGTATTTATTTCAAAACTCGAAATGAATGTTTGTGTTATGTTGTAGAGCACATTTGAAAGTATCGAAAAATATATTTCATTATTCGAAAAACAATTTCCGGGTATCTTTAAAACTGTATACTTTAAGCACTAAGTAGCATATTGTTCGTTACAGTTTTTTCTACCCTACTTCGAATCTAATCGTACACCTTGATCGTGAGTTTAAAACCTTCGCTTTCAAATGTTTTGTAAACTATCAAGTACGATCCTTCTTTTGGCACAATAATAAACTTTTGTCCTACCCTCTCCAGTGAGCTATTCATGAAATAAAATCTGATCAATTTTACTGTAGCATTGCTACGAAAAAGACCTTATTTTAAAAGGAATGGAATGCATTCGATTGCACTTTGACCCTTTTTGATTTATATATAGAGTGGGTGGGTGTGGGTGTGGATGACGAGAAGAACATCACCAACACCCACACCCCCACCCTAAAGAATAAGAAGCACAACGAATAGTGAATGTTCAAACATTATTTAAACTTGTTCGATTTAATAAAGTAATATGATATTATAATAAATGGCTGCTATGCGAAAAAATAAACTTTCTAAAAAAAGTTTTATTACAGAATAGGGAAAAAATAGTGTCTCTCTATAAGGTCTTAGATATCATAAAAGCTCGAGATCTGAAAATTAATGTTATGGATTGTATTAGTTTGTCTTTGTAATTTATATTACTGGAAAGAAAAACTTTAATGAATCAGTTGGTAAGGTTATCTATTCTATTAATCACATGAAAGTAATCATTTTGTTAATGCACAGAACTCGACAATGTTTAGAGACAACAATCTTCAGATTTCCCATGTAAATATTTTTTGCCTCAAAACGCGTCTGAAACGCGTTTCATTTGCGTGCGAAACGCTAAGAGTGAACGCGTTTGAACGCGTCCCTAGTGAAACAAACGAAGCGTTTAAACGCGATTTATTTTAGAAACGCGTGTGAATGCGCTTCTAGCTTGACTTGCGTTCAAACGCATTTTTAGCGAAAACGCGTCTCAGATGAAACATTTAATGCGTCTGGACGCGTTTCATAAAAAAACTAAAAATTTTGAAAAAAATATGATAATCCATTTCAGATTCGAACTGAGTTGCCACCATCAATATTTTTTGATGGTCTTAGCCTTCCCTGGCAAATGGATTAGATTTTACCTTAAGTGACGACGATCAGATTTGAACAGATGAACCAGTGATTAAAAGTCGTTCATACATACCACTGAGTTATACTAACTCGAAATCTTGTCTTATTCAAAATAAAATATATTTGAAGACGAATTTCATCGGTTAAATACTTTATTTTAACAAGATGTATTTTTTTTGAATTCAAGAGTCTTAACACGTAAGATGACTTTTTAGTTATTTTTTTAAATAAGTTTTTTATTTTTTTAATAAAATAACTTCTTTTTTTTATCATCTACTACACATAAAAAATATTACAATCTTTTTTATTGCACTGGTAATATGATAAATAATTTTATCGAAAAATTTAATGAATAGATAATTATTGACAACCAATTTAGTAGAAATATGTGATGAAAAGTTACTAATAATATTATTTAAATAGTAGTATTTAACAATATTCTGAAAGGGCATTGCATAGCTGGAAACTATTACAATATTATCTGACTATTTTTCTTACAAACTTTAGAGAAATATGGACTGTTCACCGTATGTTTAATTGAATTTTGTCTATTTTAACGTCATCTCAACATTCTTTATTAGAAGTCTAATGAAGTTTAGATGAATAAAATACATGTAAGCTGATGATTTTGATTATGCAGTTAACTCTTCTAGAGCAGCAATTTTTGGGTAAAATCGCGTCCGATACACAAAAAATAAACACTTTCAAAGGCACTCGAAAATATGATTGCGTCCTAACGCGAGCGAAAAACATATTTAAGACACGTTTGAACGCAGTTCGTAAACAAAATTTTTTTAAACGCATGAAATTTTTTTCAGAAACGTCTCGAAACGCGGTTCATTTTTTTCTGATTGCGTTTAAACGCCTTGTATAGAAAACCTGCGTCCAGACGCGTTTCAAAATTTTTTCTAACTGCGTCTCAACGCTTCTCATATTACACCACGTTTGGACGCGTTTAGTCAAACTCTTATTAAACACATACAAACGCAATTTCAATATGAAACGCGTTGAGACGCGGTTCATAGTTTTTTTACAATTGCGTTTCAACACGTTGCATACAAAAACTGCGTTCAGACGCGTTTCAAAAGTTTTCTAACTGCGTCTCAACGCGTTTCATATTAAAAATGCATTTGAATGCGTTGTGAAACCGTTTTTAACTGCGTCTAGACGCGTTTTGTTGGAAACCGCGTTTCAACGCATCGATCTTACGTTTCGTGATTACATGGGTTGTATTTAATAAAAGATACCGCAATTAAAAGTTTGAAGCAAAATTAGGCGTATTTAAAGGCTTTCTAAAACGCGAATGATCAGTGAAGAACATTTGATAAAAGGGTTGAAAAATTTTATAATACCACACTTATAAATGAATAAAGTATATAAATCGTAGAATGCATATTGTATTGTTGTATTCAATTGACATTCAACACAATGAATCGGATGTTTAAATCCCATCATACATTTTTTGCAAGTCTGTTGAATTGAATTGTATTTGAAAAAATTCAACGATTCGATTTTTACTAAATATTAGTTGTCAAAAAGTTTCAAATCAAAGGAAAAGAATTCTATAAGAAATAGGATACAAAATACATTGATCCTAGTATATATGTTTCATTTCGTCTTCTTCTTCTTCTTCTTATACATTTATTTATTATTTAGTAGAACAAAGACAGATTTGTCAAATAACTAAATTCTTTCTCACATAAAAACAATTTTAACATCAAGTGTTCAATAGAGAGAAAAAAAGTCAAAAAAAAACAAGTTTGATCGACGAGAATGATAAATCAAACAAGCGATTTTTGGTTGGACGTCTTTTATAGATATTTGTAAAGGTTTTTACATTATCAATACACATAACAATTTTTAATTTTAAGATTTTTTGTTGTGTTTAACGTGAATCATACTACTTGAACTATTAATTTATACTTAAAATAAAAATAAATCGAATATTGAATTAGGTTGTTTTATTCATGAAAACTTTGAATACTTCTTTATGTATTAGATAAGACAAAAATTAATCCATTTTATTTTGGTAAAGTTAAGAGACTCAAGTTTTTCATTGTATCATTATTTATATTTTATGTTTATATTATTGACAATTAGATAAAATTATACAGATGATATATTAAAGAAAAACTGTAATAATTCCGAATATTTCTGTGTTAACAAGGGAGATTTAATACAAACACATATTTTATAATTATCAATTTCACTACAAGAACCAGTTCTATATCCTTGACGCATACAATGTCGTTGGCATCGAAATTTATTCTGATCATTGGGTCCATTACAACCCAAATGACGAATTTCACGCATTGTATCATCAATACTATTCAACTCTAAAAAGTAAAATACCAATTAATTTCATAGAAAATCAACTGTATTTTTAACATATTACCATCAGATGAAAATTCGAATTCTACTATACTCCATGCTATCATTGCAAAAGTAAATAAAAAACTGATTACCATCACCGATTTATAATTCATTATCACTATGTAAAAAAGAAAAAGAAAGAAAATCATTTTATCGTATGATATATATCTGAACTGCACTTAAAATAGTTTTATTCCATTTCATGAGAAGTTTTTTGTTTTTCATAGTTCAAATACAATATGATTAATTCATATATCTAGTAAACGTAATTAATCAATCCAACATAACAATATGATTTAGTAAAAAAAAATAATATGACGAGTATATATATATGCTATAATGAATAAATCTTATTTTAAATACATGAAAAACGAACAATCTATCTACTAGTATATTTTAGAAAGATATTTTTTGTAACCATATAAGTTAGAAATATCTAAAGGAGACATTTCATCTGAACATGGATGATAAATTTTCTTCATTTTTATTCTTTTAAAATAACTTTTATGATATAAAATAGTGGAAAGTTTAATCTCTTGAATAGACTCAACACTTTTTATAGGATTCTCATCAAGCTATGAAAAATGAGAATGAAACACGTTTTCGATATCATTTAGATC